CTCTATAAAAAAGACACCTGCACCCGAATGTTTATAGCAGCACAATTCACAATTGCAAAGATGTAGAAACAACCCAAGTGTCCATCAATACATGAGAAGCTAATTCTTCAGTACAAGGGTGGACTAGCTATACTGAAGCAGGATGAGAATGAGGCCAAAGGTTAGGAGGTTAAAGGAATTCAGAAAGAGATGATAGTGCCTAAAATAAGGCAGTGGTATTGGAGACTTAGTCATTAATGTGCAGGTGAGAAAGAAGGAGCTGTCGATGGGAGTCCAAGTTTGTTGACATCATTAACTAAGAGACAGAATAGAGAAGAAGAGGCTGACAGGGGAGGGAGGGGCAGTAAGTGGCTGTTCAGAAGGAAGTTAAGGGTTGAAATAGTTTTGAGATGTCTGTAGGACATGCCAGGGTGTGGGTGCTCATTGGGCTGAGGAAGATACAGGTCTGAAGTTGAGGAAAGAATAGAATTGGGAGACATCAGCACACAGAAGTTGAAGCTGCTGATTCCTGTGGCCCTGAGACATCGCCATTCCTTTGCAGTGGCATCTCTCACCAAGGCATACCCAGACATAGGCCTCACGACTGACCTGTTTGCCATCCTCCCCAAGACTTCCACTTCTGCACACGAGGAGAGGCCCTATAAGACCACCGTTAGTGTCTTTCGTCCCATTTACTGCAGAGTAGTAGAACCAGGTCAAGCAGCTGGGATCCATGGAGGTAGGACCTACATCTTTTGGAACTTCCCATGTATAGACAAATGTTGTGCCAGGATTTACACGTGTGGAGGGTGGAGGGGTACCTAGCAAGAAATAAGCCTTTATAAAATAAAACCTAAGACCATAAGTACCCTCTTCTAGACTGTGAGATCTTTGAGAGCAAGGACTATATCTTGCTCACCTTGTAGCATCTTGGAGACAGTTGAAAAGGGACTAAAAAAATAACTCTGCCACAAAAAAGTACACAGAGCTGTTACAATGTGACAAGTAGGCTGCACGATTTTATGAGGAGTTTTCTTTTCTTGCTGACATTATATGAAAGTGTGGCTCACGTGAACGCTACTTACTTCCGCCAGGTGTTTTGTAGAATGAGCCCTCATTGCTTTTGCTGTAACGCAGTCCACGAGGCTGCATGCTGAGTGGCAAGGAAGCATTGTTATAGAAAGTGACCCTGATGATCTGTCCCACCTCTGCCTTAATGACAGGGCCTAGAAACCAAGAGTCATAAAGGGAATTGTCAGGTTGTGTTACGTAGACAAGGTTCTATTAGGGAGAAATTAAAAGGATGACACCATGAACCCAGAAATGGCTCCAACTCCAAGAGGTTCAGATGATTCAGGGACTTATAAAGTCACTTTGGATAATCATCTCATTGGATTTATAGGGACAGAAAAATGTAGTTAAAATCATTGGGTGAATCAATATATTGATTTCACAGGGTTATAAGATTATATCTAAAATATCTATAATTGTGAGTTGGTGAATACTGTTTTGAGTGCACAGAATATGTATAATATAAATGGTTTATAACCCCGCAAGCTATGAATAGAATTTTACCAAGAATTCCAAGGTGTTCTTCTCTTGACTTCTGTTTTTGGAAGGAAGCATTTTTATATTCACAGTAAACTAGTTTTTTGTAAGTTCCTCCAATTCTGGTTGGGCTTTGTTCAAAATATGGCTGGGATTCACTGGGCAGAGAAAGCAGATACACAAAGAACTTTTATATTTACAGTGATCATGTGAAAAGAAAGCAAGAATCCAAACACATCTGTTTTAGAATACTTGTAATTTATTTCTGATTATAAAAGTAATGCATGCTCATTGTATAAAATTTGGAAAAGAAGGAAAGATACAACAAAGAAAATTAAAATTTCCATAGTCCTACCATTTACATATAACCACATCAATATTTTCTCTAGATATCCCTTCAGTCTTTTGCTTATGCATGTGTACATAGTTACCTGTGTGTGTCTACTTAGTCATTT